GCTGGAGCAGCGTTGGTAACAGCCATGACTGGTGGGCAGAGATTGGACTGAGGAGGTAACGAGCACTCGTCCTCTCCTCAATCAGGACGGTCTTGTTTGTTTACCAAGTAATAAAGGGCTCACGAGTGGCTCCGTCACGTGTCAATAAACCTGAATAGACAAAGCAATCAATGACAGAGACGACGTTCAATTTGCATTTAAATCTGAGGCTAATCAGCTCATTTGCTCTGTTCAGAGTTATATCTCTCTGCTCCTCAAAGATTTCTGTCCCGGGGAGCAGGGAGATTTTGGTTTCAGTGCAGATAAGTCACTTAGTCGTGGTCGGGGGGGGGGCGTTCACCCTTCATTACGGCTCCCAGGCAGGTGTTTTCAGGTCCTAGATGTTGCTACTGCGTTAGCGTAGGTGAGTGACTACTTATGTGCAGTACGTGCGTTCTGACGCCCCCTGCATGTGATCATGATGGACAAACCAGTTGATATTAAATCATCCCAGCTCTCAAGTTGCTCAAGTTGCATTTGCAGTGAAACTGAATGATCTTTTATACATATGGACTAATGGAAAAATCCTGTCGTCGCAGACTTACAACCTCCTTTAATTAGAATCATTTTATTATTTCAGTGCTTTGCTGACAGGTAATTTCCTGCGCCCGATTGTATGGTAAATGTCAGTGGTGAGAAAGAGATTGTACTGCAGTATTAGTATGAGTGCAGTATAACAAGTTGCATATTTGATTGCTCTGTATACTCTGTATTTGCAGGTTCACAGTCAGTTACTGTGGACCTAAGGAACGCATCCAGAGTTTCTTTTTTTGTAATTGTCTCCGTCAGCTCATCAGACGTCGACTGACGTACTGCGTTGGACTCGGTCAGGTTGGTCTGAAGCTCCTAAAATAGTTTCCATTTTTTAGAGGTGCCTTGGTGAAACGTCATCTTTTCCTCCCCCCGTGTGTGGATGAAGATGACTTTGTGTCAGAGCGACAAAAAGAGATCTCTTAAAAGAACAAATGTACGTTTTTTAATCTGATAGTGTACTGGTTTGTGGCTATGACGCTGCTGCCAGAACAAACCCAGGTTTGACCTCCATAATCAGACCACGTACGTACATGGACTCCATCCATTCTATTGGCTGGAGATGAAGCTTCTAGAAGCTGCCGTCGTGGCTTCATCGATGCATGAACAAACATCTGATCAAGATCAATAATCTGAGTGGCCAGTGCCGCCTCAAGACGCTCGCCGTAAATCTCAGAGGGCCGCCATCGCCCTCATTAAATTATCAAGGCTCCGTGGGTCGTGAAACTCTCCGACAGCAGGGGTCGCTAAAAACAGAGAGTCCTAGACAAAAGGTGTTTCATTTCCTCACTGTTACTCTAGAAGCCTTGAGGTCAGGAAGCAGAAGAGACCACCGGGTGGCGTCACTGACGGGGGCTGAGTGTTTGTCTCTACATCACCCCCCCCCCCTCCCAACGGGGCCGCGGGTGGGACTTT